GTGGCGTCAGGCGTTTGAAGAAGGTGGGCTGTAGAACCTCTACAAAGTGCTTGTGACCTGTGTAGTAGACTCCCAGTGGTAGACCATCTGCACCATCTGTATGTGCACATGTTCCTGCCTCCATTCCCAACTGGTGGTCGGGCTTATGCTTAGCTGAGTAAGGGCAAATAAGCCCGAAGCAGTTCTTTATCAAGTCACCCCCAAAAGCCGTCACCTATCTCAACTATTATTGCCTGGCCGGCATCGATCTGGCAGGTGGTCACCTTTTGGTGATCCCTACCACTCATATGAAGTTCGTTTATATTGGAAAGCCAACTGGATCAGTTTGTGTGCCTATTCCTGAGCGTGTATATATAGTAGGGTGTCACTGTTCTGGTGAAGGAAAAATAAAATCCCCGTGTGCACTACAGCTCACTATAGACCCCGCATAGGCAGTCGCACGGCAACTTGTCGGATATGTTGAAATGGAACTGATATAGACAAGGAGGACTGAAATGGGCATTTCTGGTTTATGAGCAGTTATCTGTCAGTCACATCCAATCTTATAGTTTCTATTTCGTTCCTATCGCGCTAAACACAGTCGCGTTTACATATGACATTTGTGTTTATCGACGCAGAGCTGTTGGTGCACGACAGTTAGCCCCCTCTGTTCAAAACCGACCACTCAGGTCGATAATTTCTATTGAGAACCCGTCTGAATAGATACCGTCATTTGTCCATATTGCAAATTTTTCTCCTGGATACGTCATAAAGGTCTGGGCATGGTTTTCTTATTCAGAGGGAAATATAAATATATTGTAACGCCCTGAGTATTCTCGTCTGCCTCGGGCTTCTCTAAAACATTTTTGTATTCTTCTATTTTCTGGGATCGTTAATCCTCAATACTTCTGGACGGAAGCGTTATAAAATGCCACAAGAATTAAACAAGAATGCCTCGTCAATAGGAAAAAGTGCATTACAAACGTGAGGAAAACAGACCCACGGGGGGATAAAATGATTCAAACCGATCTTCAGGGATGGCTAAGCTGGGAGCTACTGCCGGGGAAGGCGCGTCAATGTCTTCACAGACTTCAACTAAACTTTGAGAAGAAGATGAGGGGGATTTTGTGCTCAGGAGCGCTATGCAAAAAGTGACTTACCCGCCAATATGCACAAAAATAAAATCTCGATCCTGTCTTGATTCGTCTTCGAAGTCGTCCAAACGCAACTCAGCAGACTAGGCCACGATCACTTAAGATCGTCCTTACCAGCGACACAGAAGCAAAACTTCTACTGTCCAGGCGTTTCCCATTGAAGTACTCTAGAAAGGATGTGTTTTTCAGCCGGATTACTTTCCTGTCGACAGGATGAAACGCCGCATGCTAGTTCTAGAATTGAGGGAACGCAGAATC